TGTAAAACATTTTTTCTTGCTTAAAATTACCATAAAAGGAAAATTTTTAACAAAACGGACGCGATCAGGAGAGAGTAGTAAAAATTTATATTTTATTTAAATAGCACAATATCAAGAGTATTATAAAACAAGTATTTTTTGAAAAAATATACTTGAAATTTAAAGATTTTTGTTAAATAACTAAAGAATTTTTTCAATAAGAATATTTAGTGTTTTATAAAGATCTTATAAGAAAATATTGGAAAACATATTATAAAAAATATATTTATTAAATAATAATTCTTATAAATATTAATAATTTTAATTCTTTAGTTATTTAACAATTTATTACTTTAAAGCTTATAAAATAACATTGATTATTTTGTAAAATTATGACTTTGAAAGTTTGTGATACTATATTTTTAGTTTTTGACAAAGGATATTTGCATACAATAAATATAAATGCAACTTTTACTAATATTTTGATTTGAAAACAATTTTAGAAGATTGCTAAATACTTTGAAAATTTATATAACTGTTCAAGAAAAGATATATAAAACATAATAGCTTATATTTTAGAAAAATTTTGGTCAAATTAGGGTTTTCCTGATTAAGTTACTATAATTAGCTTTGACTGTATATATAATAGTTATAATACTTTTATATAATCAGATAATTAATTATTTTATAAAATCGATTTATTATATAATTTGATATATAATTTTAAATTTTATTTTAATATACTTTATATAATAAAAAAATAATAAATTAATTAGGTTTAATTTAAACAACAATAAATTTATTAAAATAATATAAAAGTTAAATATTATTTAATTAAAATTTGTATTTTTTTTAAATTATTAGTAATAAAGAATTGACAATAATTCACGATTTTAAAAAAAAAATAAAAAAATAAACAATATTTATTTTTTTATATAAATATTGTAATTAAAAAAATTTTTATTTTTCAATTAATTTTTATATAATAGTAAACAAAATTTTTTTTAAAAAAATAATTTTTACTTAATTAATTATATTTCAAGAATTATTTAAAGAAATTAAATAAAAAATTAATTATATATATTTGAAATTATAAAAAACAAGTTTATTTAATAATTATTTATATAATATATTATTAAAACTTTATTAAAATTTTATTTGAAAAAATGTTTTTAAAAATTTTTTGATTTTAAAAACTTTATAAAAAAAATTAATAATAAAAAAATCAAAAAAATTATTAATTAAAATAAATAAATTAATAAAATATTTATTTTATTATTTTTTAATAAAATCAATATATAATTATTAAATAATTTATTTAAAAAATATAAAATTTTAATCCACGCGTGTATCGCAACTTAGCCCTTAAATATATATATATATATATATATATATATATATAATTTTAATGATATAATTTTTATATTATAAAAATTATTTGATAAAAATTTTATTATAATAAAAATAAAATAATTTCAATTAGAATTTATATATAAATTTATAAAAAAATTTTAAACTTAATTTAAAAATAAAATTTACAATAAAATTTATATTAATTGATTATAAAAATTAAAATAAACTATTTTTTAACTATTAAAAAACATATTTAAAATTTAAAATTATTTAAATAAAAATTTGTTTATTTATAACAAAAATAATTTTTTCAAAAAATTTTGCTTATCACTATATATAATTTTATATATAATTATTAAAAAATAAAATTTTAAATAAAAATATAATAAATTAATAAAATATAAAAAAAAAATCTTTTATAAAAATAAATAAATTTATTTCTTATAATTACTATATTTTAAAATTATATTTATTAATTTTTTTTAAAAAACAAACATGCAACAATAATACAAATATCAATAAGAATTAAAAAATTTTATTTAACCGAAATTGCATATATTTTTTTAAGCGTTTATTTTTATTTGGTTATACAACCTTATTTCCAAAAATATACAATCGAATTATTAAAACTCATATCACATGACAAAGCATTATTTAACTGTAGAGAACTGTCAGACTGTGCGACCATCCTCGCACACCTTTAAGATAAAGGTGTGCAAGATCATCAACTGACCAAAGGATACCTTTGATCACACTTCCCTTTACGGAAGGCGCACTTTGTTTCATCATCCAGCGAAAATTGTGTGTCTAGGTTGGAAAACAAAGACCGGTGACTGACTATATACAGATCCTGTAAAGTACAGTCGATGGGGTTTAATGAAACGTGAATGGCAGGTTTATATGTAAATTTGGTAAATGTGGGATTGGATTAGGTGGATGATTCTCACCAAACTTAAATTGTAATTTTAGATCACGCATAAAAAATACGTCGCGTACAAAATAAGCCACCTTAATATCGTGAATTGATTGGTCACATTGAAAAGACATATTTTTGTTTATTGCTACGGTCCGCTTAGTCCGTTTATTCCCAAAGGTTGACTTTTAGCGTGTACCTTGCATAATTTTACTTTTTTTTTTTTACAAACGAAAGCTGACATGTTCTTTGTTCGTTAAGGCTACTTTTGATAAGTAAAACCAAGGATAATGAGTATGGGAAAGATAACTAGATCTAAAACTTACAACGAGTTACGCCATCGAGAGATCGGCAATAGACCACCACGAGGTAGACCGCCACGTAGAGGAGTCATAGACATAGAGGTAATCCCGCCAAATGAGAGAAGACAGGAAAGACCACTTCCGGAAATTCGCCTACCCATGCCTCCAGAACCAAGGTTGAATGAACCGCGGCTAAACGAACCAAGGGTAAATATTCCTCAAAGAACAACACCACCTCGAGAGGTTCCAACAGCATCACGGCCTGTAGATCCACGGGATCCTAATTCACAAGATCAGCTAAACAATCTACCGCCTGGTTCTTCGACCACCACCACGAGTACAGTTATCACTATCAAAATGACTACAGTTACTCATACAGATGCAAATAACAATTCAACCACAACAACGACAGTAACCACTGATATTTCTCCGGTAACCAGTAATACGGTGTCATCGGATCCTGCCACAGTAACAGTGGAAACCAGTGAGATGCCACCTCAAATATCGAGATTTCCAACACAAATCACACCAATTATTGCAAATAATAATAGTAATAATAGCAATTGCAATAATAATAATAATGAAAGCAACATCAACAGTAACGTTAGTAGTAATAAAAATAATAAAAGCAATAATGAAAAAGAGAAGGAAGTAAATGCCGGCAATGTTAGTAATTCGGTCTCTAGCAATCAAAATCAAACAAATAACGTTTCATCCCAACCACCTACGATCAATGCCACGTCAAATACATCAAATACGGTTACGTTTCCAGGACAATTAAATGCAAGTCAACTACAGCAAAAGATGGCAGCCATTTACACTCCTCAGATAGCGTCCATTATTAATAATGCCGCGTCGAGTGTGGGTGTCAATTCAGAAGTCAACTCTGAGAATGTGTTCAATCCACACTTTAACAATAAAAATGTGCCCACACATACCCCTTCTTACATCAATCCTCCAATGAATACGTCTATGAGCAACGGAAATGTTATTCATCCTCATCCTCAAATTGCACCCAATCATGTTCCAAATTATCACAATAATCCAATTATGGGTACATACAACCATTCACCGATGGTTCAAAATTATCCGATCATACCTATCAATAGTGGCTCAGATTCAACCGGAGTATTCCCACACCATTCAAGTTCAAGTTCTAACAGTAACTTTATGAATATTCCATCACATGGGGTAAATGTATTAGATGCGAATCATCAGGCCGGCAGCGCTATCGTGAGAACTCCGAGCACTGCGACCATTAATTCCAACGGAACGATCCCCAGCCCTATTGATTCTGTCAATGGCCCCCCAATATCATTTGTTCCACCCGCGCACAATTCGGACAATGCATCCGTCAACAATTATGCTAATCGGGTGAATCCTCCTTCGTCAGCTACACCTGAAAGTGCGAGACAAAGGCCTAAGTATTATCGTCTTCCAGATCTAGACTCTCTTGATACTGTCTATGATGTTTGGAATGAATGGAATGTGGGACTAAACGATAACCCTTCGGTAATTGCTTTATTAGAGGTATATGGAAATAAGTGGGCAACCGAAAACAAAGATCCTTTGATCGCACGTAAAAAAATCATTAAAGAGATACAGATAAGGACTAATGACTCGGAAATTGATAAGGTTATTAATGACATGGAAAGAATGCGAGATGGTCATAGTTTAACTTGGTTAGCAAAGAAATTTGGTAAAAAAAGGACACCTACCCATCATGATGATTGATGACTTATTAAGGGGATTTTCACTGTTATGTTGCTGGGTTTCTTTTCTATTATTTTTTTTTTTCTTTCATTGCAAAAAAAAATTCGGTTCTTATTAACATTTTATGCTTTACCTTTAGACTATCATTTTGAAGGATTATAATTCTTTGGAAGAATTTTTATTATCTGGACTGTTTCTATTCACATTGACAAATAGCATTTGATTATATCATTCAATTGATTTTGAATTCTGTAATTACTGCAACAAAGATTATGTGAATAATTTATAATAGACTGAGGTTACTCATTAATACAACGCATGCACAAGATTATTATGAATTTTTCTAGAGTCGATCAATGCTTTTTCTTTGCTTACATCGAGAACGTTACAATTTGCCAATTATATGAATATAATTTAGAACATTTGAATTAACAAGCTACTTGCCAAGATTAATTGACTATTGCACTTTAGGAATTGCCATTATCTTTGTCGTTTTTTCTTAATGTACAAACCAAGTATAATAATAATAAATTACACTAATCTTTTTATGGAATGTGTATTCTATACTCGATAAAGATATTCTTTTTTTAATCAGATCATTTATATAATAAAATTGAAATACAGCATATTACAGAGTAGAAGCAAGTTTACGAACAATAATCGATATTTCATTTTATTATTTTAAGCATAATTAATAATACATGTATATAATTTAAGTGATTAGTAATTTTATTTCGTTTTTATAGATTTACATATCATATATTTTTAATTATATAAATATGTTTTATGTATTAGAAAATAAATATTTGTTTAATGGATGAAAAGCAATTTTATTTTTTTCAATTCACAATTTATAAATAAATAATTATCAAGCATATGTAATTATTATTATTATTTTATTTTTTTATTGCTTTAACTTAAAATCAATTAGTAATTATATTGGTTATCAAAAGATTTGTTTTTTGGTTTTTTTTTGCTGTAAATAAGTATTAAATATAAGATATTTCTTACACTTAAATTTATTATCATTATATAAAAAATTCCATATTATCAAATATAAATCAAATGTAAAAGTTAATTCCATATAAAATTTCTAATATAAAGAATATTATATTAAATTAGAAGTAATTTATAAATGACCAATGTTATATATAAACAATTAAATTAATATAATTATTAGTAAAGTTTTTTTTTTTTAATAAAAAATATTTATTTTTTAAAATTGTAAATAATATAAAAATTAAAAAAAAAATTTTTAAACTGTTATAAACAAATATATTTTTTAAAAAATTTATTAAATTATTTTATAAAAAGAAAATAAGTTTTAATTTTTGTATAAAACAAATAAGTTTTTGATATAATAAATTTCTTTTTTTTTTTTTTTTTTCCCGTAGTCAAACAAGTACGTACTGTTTATTGAATCTATACAGAAAACAAATAATG